CGGTAAGCCCGTTCTGGTAGATAGAAATTCGACATCTTTTCTACCCGTCTCCCATTTACTCGCTTCAGCTGTAAGGGGTGAATCGTCTGCAATAGAACTGCTTTCAGATGCTTCAGTCTTTCGACCCTTTCTCTTTCCTTTTTGTTTGCGGGTTTTAGGTGACGCGGAACTTTCAGAGAAAGCTTCAATACCACGTCTCCTCGATCCTGTTTCCTCGAGGAAAGATAGATTGAGCAAATCTTCGATTGCCAAATTAATATTTCCTTTGGACTTCTTTAGTGAATATTTGACATCAAAAGGTTTCAGAGTCTTGAAAGTCGCAAGTAAGAAATTCTCTTGACTATCCACATCCATCCCCTCAAGAGAATCCGTAAACTCAGTCCCTTTATAAGTATCTTCACTGCTTTGAAAGTCCAATCCTTCCAAAAGATCTAGTGAAGATGTTCTCTGGCTCGATGTTTCGTCTGTAGAACTACTCCATCTAGGTACACTTTTACTACTTGAGCTCGCATCGTCATTTCTGCTATTGCCATTTTGCGAATTCTGCTCTGCTGAAGTTTCCCCTCTATGTGTGTCTGTTCCGCCCCAAGTTCCACTAGGATCAAAGCCAGTGGCTTCTTCAAACTCTGCATCCTTCCGTATCATATCCAAAACCATGCGCGCAGTCTCAATTTGCTCTTGATTGGAAAGATCGTAATCTGCGATGATTGCACGAAACGTACTGTTGTCGAGTGGGGGACAATATTCTATCTGTGTAGTTCGTCAACATTATATACAACTAAAGAAACAGAAAATTCGAAAGTGAATGAGATAGTGAATGAATTCAAGAATTACATACCTCCATTTGAGCCAGAAGCTCCTGAGCATTCACCATAATTGCGGCAATGCAAAGCAATGCAAAGCAATGCAAATTTCAACGTCGATTGTTTCCTTCTAATTGCGCACACAGACACAATACAATTCACTCTATTTCTATCAATAAACTCTTTCTTTTTCTTTCACCCAACTCAATATTCAAGGAGATTCTGTTGGAAATAAATTATTATAAATAGATGTAAGAGAAGCAAAGTAATAAATATGTAACATGATTCTATGGGATATTGACATCTTCTGTGGTATTTGCTCAAGTTCAAGTAGGTAGGTAGGTATGATTAAAGTTTCGTTCTACTCCCTAGAAGAAAAGAATGAAGTGGTGGGATTTCGAAGGATGATGAAGTCATGAGCCGAGAAATCAAAGGGCACCAGATATCGAAGCTAATAGGCCGTCTGGCTGGCTATCTTATCAGTGAGGGAACGCTAAATAGGGGTGAGGGTGAGATATTAGTAAGCAAGATTGATATTGAGCGACAGTAGGTATGTACCTATTCATGAAAACATGGAGAATTTGATGTCGGTGACAACTTTGGAGATTCCTCTCGAATACTCTTCAATCGAGTCGACATAAAAGTCTACCGTGTACGAGACACCGAGAGTATCTCGTATCTTCTGGCATGAACCAAATCAGAGTGTTCTCATCAATTCCACAAGTCCGTGTGCATTCACCATCATAAGAACGACGACCATCGCAACTAACTCAATGAGAGGAGAAGCACCTTCCAACAATGAATTGATACATTGACAACATTGTATGAGAGATACCAAACTTAAGATCTAACACATTTCTATAGCTTTGCTTCTCAAACTCAATCCAAGCTTGCTGGCTTTGATTGTGCTTTTGATCCTCCACTTTCACCAACGTTCAAAGTATATCTTCATCCGTGGACAAGCTGTCTAGGCCAACATGATTTCTACTTCTGTCGTTGATTTCAAACACTCGTTAATCTCCAATCCAAGATGGCAAACTTGTCTCTTATGCTGGGCGAAACATCCGATGACCAAGACGGTTGTATTCCACAGTTGGTAATGACCATCTTGATTGAGATTGATGAGCAGACGATGTGGAAGATATGGGCTAGAGCCTATCATGGTTGGATATTGCTTCGGATGATTCCCCGAGCAAGAGATACACGCTGTACTTCTCGAATACGATGGAACCATCTACTCTATCTCACAGAACTCTTGAAACATCGCCACAGAATTTTCCCTCGAGTTGAATCCTCGAGGCATCAATCTCTATCAGTGAAAACAGTGTACGCAAAGCTACTGAGCAGTCTTGTTTTAACGACTCAACCACGGTCTTTCTTGGTGCTTTCAATCAATCTTTCTTTCTTTTTCAAGTCTTGGAAAGGGCCGTCATAATGTCTGATGAACTCAAGTCTTAGATTTTCAGTTCCGCAGGCTGTATTATCGACACCTACGTAAATTATACTCCACAGATCTAAGACCTATTCAAAAAACAATTTGGAATATTTTGATAGCCACTCGGTACTCATATGAATTAATTCGATATTCCCACAGTGCAAATATCTCGCTAGTCTTCAAGCAAACGGAGGCTTTGGATTACATCAAGTATGTCCATCAACTCCACTTTGAGCTCTGCTGTCACCAATATAGTCTGATTCCTGTCAAAACCTGGCAATCGATGCATTCTACCCCATCTGGTGGCCAACTATCTATACTAAGAATTGAAGCTGGTAAGGTAGGATCCCTCGCAACATCCTCCCTCGCCGTTGTTCTTTACACTATCGTTCTGCTCCAGTAATATACTCACTTGAGGACTATAAGCATCTTCTTCCCTTATGCTGCGGCATATCATCTAAAGGCTCGGGGACCATGTGATAATGCACTGTTCTCGATTTCTGATATGGAGTCAAATCCGCGCTTTACAAATTTCGATAGCAAGCTCTAAAAGACCAGGAGTACTGGGTCAAAACGATCACGAGCGTCCGCGAGATAGTCTACTCCAAACACATCAGACAAAAATATATCAATGACCTTTAAGCGAATAGATATTAATATCATCGACTTGGTTGCCTCGGTGATTTTGTTCAACAACTTTCAAAAAGAAGCTCTATTCCTTAGTATTTGGTCTCGCTTTCTGGACTGAAACACCAAAGTCGACGAGCTCTGTTGTTATTGCCATTTCAATTAATTGAATTCGATAGAAAAGGTTGTGTGGTAAACTGAGAAAACCTACAGTAACTCATGTATCGATTCAATAAAGATGCAACGGAAACTTCCAAGGCTCTATGGCGGTCGACCCATTGACGTATCCTCTCAAGGATTATGGATTCCTAGTATCACTTCTCAGAACCTGGTCATGAATTCAAATGAAGTCAAAGCAGCTATCTGCGAACCGCTATGTGAATATGGCAAGCTTTTCCTTCTAAAATTCATGCTTTGATCTCACATTCCTTTATGGCTCTTCATACATCCTTATCAAAGTACTTTTGATTCCTCGCTATGGCCCACAACTAGGTTCTGTGAGGCTGTTACTAAATTTCCGATCCTGCAGGTATCTGCGCCGATTGTAAGCAGGGCTTCTTTACACGCCAAGAGCAAATGCATCCGAGCTAGTTTCATCGACGATCACTTTCCAACGATGAAAAAACGAACTGCTGCTTCATATATGAAAATTATACAACAGCATCCCAAATACTTGATAGAAAGACTCGCCAAGCACGGGGATATCGTCATCAATAGGTGGAAGAAGAAAAGCCAAGTCAGACGTCAGGCGCTGCTACTTGAAGCCATTCCAAATATTTGCCAGGAGAGGTGGGTCATCCTCCGCCATAGGTTTACACCTGAAGGCAAGGAGATCCCACCCATAAATAGCGATGGTCAAATGGAACCGCGCTCCCTAGAAACCCAAGATCACCTCCTACTAAATTGGTTAAGCTTGGAAGTCCTCAAGACAAACCCCGCTGTCCTTTTTGCATTGTTATACAATCGAACGGTATATTCTCCTCAGGACTGGGCGTCATTTGATTCGCGACAACTGGACTCCCCCTTTTTTTGTAGACACTTCGACGTTGAATTTTCAGCCAAATGTGATGTGATGTATGGTCTCGAGTACGGGGAGGTGGTGGACTGGAAAGCTGGTCCAGCACACAGAGCGGATATTCTGGGGTTCCCCAAGGCGTCTTGTTCTCGAGTCTCAAGCTTATTTGATGGTTTCACTTCGCAGAGTTGTTGATGGCATACTTCAAGGAGTCGATGAAAATACACCGCTTGCAGCGGAACAATGGAAATCTATTGTTTCGCTGAGATTCAGGCATAGTAATGTCGTGGAATTGTGGTCACTCTACACCAATCAAGCATTCTCATCGCCTCCATCATTCTCTCTCTCCAGTATGGTCTCTTTGGCTCAGACACGGTTAGAAGCAACCATTGACCATCTTTGGATATTGCAGACAGAGCCGGCGCACATGAAATGATAAATCCTAGATATGTGCCATAGAGGTGCTTACGAGACGACTAAAGATACTGGGGCTAATTGGTTGGTTGTACGTAGAATTCTTGGAGCCATTAAGTCTTGCTGGAAGTGGGGTTGTGAATGCGAACATGTCAAATCAATTTATGACCGTTTACGCCACAATATTGCACAAGGCGAGGATCTTCCATCTAAATATAATAAGGCATTAGGTGCGCTAGAGTATGTTATTCAAGTTTTCGATCATCTGCATAATTTCTTGAGTGCTTGACACGGAGTTTTACTAAGTTACTATCTAGACTCTTGGTAGTGAATGATGTCAACCATCGTGGCGATCTCCTTGGAAGGACAACTTCACAGAGACCGGGATTCTCTCACAATTATATCACAACTAAGAAATTCCAAGAACATAGACCTGATATCCTCGAGACGAATTAGAAAACCGGCTTGATTTCTGATCCAAAATATGTATTTGAGAACGAGCCTTTAGAATATTGTTTAGCCCAATTGCAGATAAATCCGGACATACAAATAAAGCCAAATATATGGCCAAAAGAAGTGGCCACAGATCATGCACTATTATTCTCTATTTATAGAAGGTTAACTAGCCAAGAGCAATATCAAAGAAAAGTCTCGCCCAGATGAGGTCTTATCAAATCTCCTCTCAGATCTAGCAGCTTCTCGTGAAATGTTGGCTGCCTCCCGTTTATGTCGACCCCTGAGTAGATCTAGAACCTTGAATAAGGTGATACAGTTAGAGAAACGAAAAACTTGGAAGGCTTTTAATGTCAAAAGTAACTTTACCAATGAGGCTTGTTCCTGGCTAGGAAAAGCACTTTTTAAAAATTTCCACGAGGTCAAAGTCCCCACGGGTTGGAAGGACAAGGCTTGGTCGAATCACTCTCAAAGCACCAGGAAAGCACTGGAGGCATTCTGGCATGGCATTAGGAAGGACAGTGTGATGGTCTGGAAGCAGAATGGGTTTGCCGAAGCCAAGATTACTGAAGAGCTTGAGTATATCAGTGTCACCACTACTCAAGAATACCTAAGTGCTGTCCAAGCCGAGGAACAGCAGCTACTAGCTCAAATCGAATAGAACCAGAACAACAAAATCAACCAAAAGAACCAGAAATCCGTCAAAACACCCACACAAACAACTTGGGGCACGGAAGATACAACTCCAACCCTTCCAGCGCAAACAAAAATCAAAGATAAAACTCGCCCCTTTATCTATACCTATACCTAACCCTACCCAACCAATCCCCAAGAACTCGCCAATCACCTAGCAAACGCAACCGTCTCTTCCTCCCCACCCCAAAATTCTCGTCACGAAACGCGCTCGCGAAATGCTGTCCCACGTGTATCCCTGCACCGCCGAAGACGCACCCACAATGAGTATCGAATGGGATCTTTTCGTACATATTATGTCTGATATGGGATTCTGCGCGTGGAATAAAGGAGGTAGTGCGGTGGGGTTTGAGAGGGAGTTTGCGGGGCTGGGGGCGGATGGAAAAGAAGAGGGAAATAGGGATACAACTTTTGTAAATCGTAGCTGGAAAATCATTTTTCATCGACCGCAGCCGGTGGCGAAAATTGATCCGGTTATGTTGAGGTGTGTGGGGAGGAGAATGACGAGGAGTGTTTGGGTGGGGGAGGGGAGTGTTTGGGTTGTGTGGGGGGGATGGGGTGGATGGGGTGGAGATAAAGTGGTGAAAGGTTGAGTTGAGAAGAGTTGGGTTGAGTTGAGTTGAGTTGTGTTGAGTTGAGTTTTGAGAAGATGACGGATGGAAGATAGTATGGAAAAGATGAATAAGATAGACTTTAAGCTGATGATGTTTGGGCATCGAATCTACTGGCCCAATATCATCAATAGAAACTCTATCTCTTCTAGATAGATGCACTCTTGCATCTCAGATATAGAGTAGATCAGTGTATAGATATCCAATATAATACTTTTGTCATACGAGTACATATATACACACACGTAAATCCGAGTATCAAAAAGAATGGTACTGTGAGTGGAAAATAAATTTCATTACTGTGATTTCCGTAGTTGCTGTGGTTGCTGTGATTTGATTATTACGCCGTGTCGCTGTGTACCCACTAACCCATCATTCCTTCCATCTTCCATGCATGTATGTATACTAGTAATAGCCCATACAAGCAAGCTCATTACTATCCCTCCCTCCTCTATCCCTGCCCCCACTATCCTCACATCAAATCCCTATTCACCATGCATCCATCCGCCTCTCAACATTCTTCTCTCTCATATATTTTACAAATTTATCTTCTCAGCTACATCTTTCCGAGTCCAAATCCTGCTCCAACCCCAGTTTCGCGTCCAGATATGATCCACAATACATCAGCATCCCGCCGTTACATCATCCAATGATCCCAAAACCTAATATTCATCATCACTCTCATCATCCGGCAAAAGCGCTCTATATCTCCTCTCCGCCAAATCCTCCTCCAACCCCCCCTCATCCCCAGTATCTCTATAACCCTCTCCACCCGCCAAACTAAGTGCCACAGGCAAGAAAACCAACGCATGCAACGCGGCAAAAATGACCAACGCAAGCCAAATTCTAAAGTAATAAATCTCAAAGATTTTACTCCTCGTAAATGCCAACACCGTAACGCCTACTAATTTCGTAATCGTGATGCCGCTGAAGACGGAACCACCTACGTTTACAAGAGCGGTCCATGCGCGCGCATCCTTGTTGCGGAACTTATTTTTCGCTTTTTCCATGACGGAGCGCGAGGGGAACATGAATGCGCGGGCGATGTGGGCGCAGAATTCCACACCGATACCGACGCAGATGATGAGGTTAACCAGACTGACTGCGTTGAGAGAGACGTTGAAGACGGCCATTGTACCAATGATATCGGTAACTATCATTATGACTGTTACTGTGACTACAGCGCCTGTTTTAAGGGATCCGAGAAGAATTGAAGAGATGAATAGAATGAGTACCAAAGCAGAGCAGAGGAGAGTTGCCGTGAGACTGATGATTGTGGTGTACTGATCGAAGAATATGTAGTAGACACTGTAGGGGAAGACTTCTAAACCAGACTTTTCACTCATACCATCTGCGATTCGACGAGCAGAGGCATAGGCAGCAATAAAATCTTCTTGACTGTGGAGTGGTGTGTGACTCGTGCGGAAGTGACTTGCAGGAATGGTATCTCTTTCTGCATCAATAACTAGAGCATTTCCATATGAAGCTTGACCACCAAGAGGACAGTCCTCATCTGTGGGAGAAGCGATCCATTTTTCTAAGTAATGAATAAATTCTTGACCTTCAGGCATACCACTTAAAGTAATATTCCATGCTGGATCCCGATTTTCAAAGCAAGCTGAACGACCTTCAACACAACATGAGTCCAATGAAGGATCAAGCCAACGGAAATAGTCATCGATCCAACTAGCAGGAGTAGCTGCGATGTAGGAAACCTCTGGCCTCTTTCTTTCGGACTCCAGAATGTTGGTAAGGGATTCTGTTTCGCATGTTGTGAAGCGAGAGCATAGCTGTTGTTGGTGGCTACGCTCGGTAACATTCAACTCCCGAGTAACGAAATACACTGGTGGTCCCGAATCAAAGTAATCGTACAAGTCATTGAAGTAGGGAATGAGATATGATCCGTCTGGAATTGCCACACGCTGATCCAAACCTAAAGCGACTTCGGGCATCAATGCAACAGCAGCGGCGAATATTCCAAGAAATACAACGACGACAGCAGTCTTTACTTTGCGACCAAGTAAAGCTGGAGCATATGTCTTGCGGATGAACTTTTGAAGGAACCCTTCGTCAGAACCTTCGTAAAAGCTAGAGTAAGAATTTCCATTGCCATTTCTAAGGTGAACACCCGCAGTTTTGACCTGAATGCAAGGAATACAATCTACACGACGATCTTCAACACGTCGTTGATTGAGACTGAGGATAGCAACGAACATGGTGATTTGCAGAACAGCATTGATGAATACTGCGCCTGCAGCATAAATTGCAAAGTTTCGAACTGCTGGCATACCAACAAAAGCACCAAGGGCAAATGCAATGGTCTCAGTAGATGCTGATAGAAGAATCGATGGACCCATTCTTCCAAGTGCCTTGGCGATACGGTGCTCAACCATTTCATCAGGATGGCTAGTATTAACTCTTTCAAACTCGTGTACAATTAAAAAGATGTTATCGACACCGACTGCAAGAACAATGAATGGAATCACCTCGGCAATGATGAGCGTAACCTTGACGCCTGCAAAGGAGAAAAGACCAATCGAGGCTGAAATAGACATCAGCACAATTAAAATACCCACTACTCCTAGTGAGAACTTAGATTGGACCAAAGAGCTAGCTGGGTTGTGCATTAATGTTCGGAATGAGATGGTTGTCGAGCCAAGAGCTAAAGATGCGTAAAAGAACATGATGATATAACTAATGACGACAATCTTTGCATCGGTGTTGGTAGATTTATTGAGTTCTTGCTCAAGACTTATCTCAGTGGAGAAAGAGAGTCTTAAACCACGTTCGCTTGCTTGAACCTGCAAGCGTAACAACTCATCTCGAAGGGAGGCCTCCCAATCCATAGCATGTTCGACTTGAGATGAATTCTCATCATCATTGTTTACCACCCAAGTGATGATTAGGGCAGTAGCATCAATGACATCACCAGATTCTTGCCAACCACCGAAGATCATTTTAGGATCTAACGGTTGAGCAAAAGCAGGACGGCAATTCACAGGTGATTCGGCACATGATCGAATAGTTTGCTCCCAGGTGTCCGGGCCTACACTGGAAATATCGTCGTTCAAGTAACCTCCTACAGATTGAACGACACAAGCATCACCAGTAGGCTTCAAGCAAACATCACTGAATTTGGTACCGGTTTGTTTTCCGGTCAACCCTCTGATTCGATCCTCAGCTTCAAGCCACCATTTCAACGTATCGTAACTCATGACAGGACCAGGTCCTGATGAGTTAGTATCATTGACCAAGAATACTTGCTCAGCACGATAAAATGGTCCAAAATTCGAATCAAAATAAGCTTTCTCTTGAGCAGCAGAAGATGATGGGCTGACCCATAATCGTGCAGGATTCTGTTCAATCTCGAATTTTGTCCAGCCTAGACTCAAGATTCCAACTATGATTATGCTTGTTACAATTGTAATAGCAGGAAATCTCGCGGCTGTGAAGCCAAGACGACTGAATGCAGTGTCACAAACCGTATTGATCCAATAAGTTCTTTGAGGTCGGTCATACATGGCTCTATTGTGGATCATGTCACCTTCATCATCATCATCACTTGGGGCAACGTCTTCCAAAAGTCGTAATCTTTCGTTACGTCTTTTGGTATGCTTAGCCCAAGCTATGTGACCAAACACAGCAACAGCGATTAATAGTAGTACCATGCTGTATGTGAAGATAGCTGCGAAAGAAAGACATGGCAGCAATCCAACATGACATGACCCAGACTTTGAAACTTCTGGCAAAGCCGGGCAGACTGCAGGACAATCCACACAAGAACATCGAAAGTTGGGGTCTTCATCGTTACACTTCTTGGGTACCATGGGTAATGGATCCATCCCCTTCTCCGGATATTTGCTAGGGTCTGGAAAGTTGATCTGGAATGGCGAACCTAGTAAAGATTTGTGTCCCAGGAAAGCTAAGAATGAAGAGTAATTCTTTGCTCCACCTCCAATGAATTCCATGGCGTTTGAATTCGTTGGTCCAAACTTAACATCTTTGCAGCTATCAAAGAAACCCGACCCATATTCATCAGAGATGAGTTGATCTAGCTCCGTGACGATGTATTTATCGCCCTTCTGCTTCGTTTCCGTTACATTCAGGAAGAGAGATTGATCTGGTGAGCATGTAAATGTACAAAAAGTGTTGTAAAAATTCTCTTTGCATGCCGGACAAGAGGATATAATTGGATTCGCCTTCTTGATCTGATCTGCAAGAGCATCTATCTGCGAAGCCATTAGCAAAGTCCCGCCTCATTTCAAAGATTCTCACATACCTGACTCCCCTCACAACAAACAGGTCCCGTACTCCATTTTGGACCGCAAAGCTCGACCAGTTGTTTCCTCACCTCATA